GTATGCAAGGACAGTGAACCAAATACCCAATTTCTCTTCTTAACTTGTTTGTTAATGTAAGGAGAGCCTTTATTTAGATTAGTAGTTAACAATTTGTTAATTTTATAATTTATTGATACTTATGTGTAATTTGCGTAAATAGTTACAGTTTGGAGTTCTTTATGTAATTAGAAAAAGTTTTGTTTCTATCGGTGTATAAATACTTTACCACCCTTTGTTAATAAACAATACATCGAATTCATTTTTATTCGAATTTTCAACTATTTTTCTCTCTCTTTCTTCTCTCTCTTGAAGTTCTTGAGAGTTCTTATTAATTTTATCGGATATCGTCAAAATCTTATCAATTTCAGATTATTGTTGCCTGCAATTCAAGCTGATATCTATGTGAAATCTAACCCTTATATAATTAGAAAAAGTTTTGTTTCTCTCGGTGTATAAATACTTTACCACCTCTTGTTAATAAACAGTACATCGAATTCATTTTTATTCGAATTTTTGAGTGATTTTTTTTCTCTCTCTCCCTTTTGAAGTTCTTGAGAGTTCTTACCATTTTTTTCGGATTTTGTCAAAATCTTATCAATTTCGATTTATTGTTGCATACAATCTAAGTTGATATCTACGTGAAATCTAACCCCAATTGAATTGGTAACAAATTAGTTTGATTAAAATTTAATTATTTATAATTTTTTGTAAAAAAGTTGAAAATTTTAAAGACGAATCAATTATTATAAAAATGGTACAGAACAAATTTAAAAATTTTATTAGAGGAATTTATAGAACAAATTTAAAAATTTTATTTGAAGTATTTATAAATTCATGAGTAATTTAACTATAAAAAATTAAATAAATACTATTTAAATATGATAATAATTAAATAATAAAAAAACTAATGCAAAAATAAATAAATCTTTACAAATTTTTACATTTATTCAAAAAATAAGTCTTAAATGATAGTTTTGTTCTCAATCATTGCATCTTCTGTTCATATGAATTTACAGATATATATATATATATATATTATTCATTTTTCTGTTTAAAAAAAGAAAGAGGAAGTCAGACCAAGTTCAGCTATGAAGCTTCTTCATCTTACTCGCTTCTCATTTTCTTGTATCGCAGAAATCTAATCGATCAACTTCAGAGAAAGAGCAAGCAAAAAGTCTTGACGATGGCGGAAGCTTTACTCACTTTTGCTGTGGAGGGAATCCTGGGGAAGGCAGTTTCGCTGGCTGCCAATGAGATCAGCCTAGCCTGGGGTTTCAGGGACGCTCTGAAACAGCTCGAGATATCAATGAGG